GTTGCCAGCAGGCCTGTTTTTGTGTAGACAGACCCATAATCAAAAAACCCCAAATTTTGCCAGTGACACCAGACTCAAAGCCAGGTATCTGATGGCTCTTCCTGTTTCTTCCTTCACCATTCCCTGCAATTGGAAGGATAGAGGAGAACAATACTTGTGCTCCCGATCTCTTAACTAGTTGTCCCAGGGCCCTGAAGTCTCTCTTGATTGCCCTTGGACTTCTCGTTGCAACTTCATCGTTGCCTACATGAAAAATCAATAATGGATAATAATCTGAGGGCTGTACCAGGGAAGGAAGCTTTCTCTTCACATCTTTAACCAGGCCCCAGGGAGACAGCAGACTTCCCTAAGAAGTGGGTCCGGTCTGCATATCGGGCACACCCTGCAGCCTGACACTTGGGTGGCAGCATGTTCCCATCGGAGCTCTGTCTGGGAAGCTGCGTCAGTCGTGGCAGGTGCAGAGTTTAGAGAGGACACAGCCTTCTGCCAGGTGGATACCATTGCTCCCCGGTTGAGCCAGCAGGCGGGGGGACACAGCTCAGCCCTGCCCAGGTCCCATCAGCCACTGTCGCATGAGCTGTGGGCTCCTGGCAGGTCTCTTGGCTCCCCCTGAGGTTCCCCCGGTTCAGGACCCCCGCTGTGCACCACGCTAGAGTGCTCTGCTGCAGATTGTGCCAGTACCGGAGCTGCTTGCCTCGGCGACTGATGCAAGCAGTATATATACAATATATAAAATAAATTAATGATCTATATTTTAATATTGCTTCCCTCTATAGCACTATATTGTAAAGCACTTGTGCATAACCAAGGGTCAGTATACTTTGAGATACTTCTAAAGAAAGCAGATTAGTAAAGATCATAACATGGACAGATTTGTTGGGATCTTTGTTCCTTCCTTCCTTGTTTTCCTCCACCATTGCAATATGCTAGCACAACCAAAATACAGCTTCTAGGCTTTGTTCCAACCCAAACTGTATCCAGTAACTCAGTCACCAAACACCTACTACATAAATTACAGCTTTGGAAAATATTTGTATTTTAACTTAAACATGCTTGCAATCTGCACCTGGGGAATTCTAAAGCACCCAAATAGTGAACACACTTAAATCACAGTTTTCACTGAATAACAATACCAACATGTCTTTAAAACTGACATTCGAATGGTTGAAAAGAGAACAAAATATTTCAAAGTTGAAAAACAGATAAGAAAAACTCTACACTAATATGCAAAACTTCACATTAATTTTTATTTTTAACAGTTAGGTTAACATTTCTGTATTCACTTCTACCTCCTTGTTTTGCCTGGAATGAGAACCAAGAAAATATGTACAGTCTTCCTCTGTTTTCATGGCACCTTCAGCCTGACTAAAACCAAGGATTAGTAGAAAGCTAAGGAAGTCTACAGCACAGTTTCAAGGCAGAAGCACAAGAAAATACACAGCAAATTAGGTCCACAAGTTTGATTTTTTTAATTAACGTA